CGCGGTCGAATTTCCAATATCTACGAGTCGGCGATATGGGACGATCCCCTTGAATTGAACCCTTTCTATCGCCTCATAGTGTCTCTTTAATCCCTTGAAAAGGGGGACGTTAAACCCCATTTCATTTCCTTTAATCCCAATGTATGAAAGAGGGTTATTATTTATATTAAGCATGGTGAATTCTTTGACCTTTAATCGATTAACTTCTAATAGTTTGTTGTAACTTCTTGATGTTGTTTTTTAAATTTCTTTGTAACTGATTGATTTTTATTTGCGAGTTTCGGAGAACTTTTGTTCTGTGATGAGCTGTGTTTATTCTACTGTGTTAACCGGCTTGTAATTTGTGTCGTTCTCAAATAGCAACATGTTAAAGCTTGAATTAGATAACACAGGGATGAATAACAAATTAAGTTAGCTACCTTCAAATCGATATGCCTGCTGAATACGCAGAAGTACTATTTCTGTAAACTTATATAAACCGTGTTGGAATTTTCTGCCATGAATGATTTGCGGGAAGTCCCTAGAGGCCGGATGTATAACTTCTAATAATTATTTGTAATAGTCCTGTACACTATAACAATTCCCATAAAAACAGCATACAGAGATATATCCAGGGTGGGTAGGGGACTCAAAATAATATGTTGTGCATGGTCTTTATTACATGCTTTTTCGAAGCTCAGAACACTGGTATAATAAATATTAAACAAAGATAATGTATGAAATAAAAAACAAACATTATAGCACAAAATGTATAGAATGCCATGGCAGTATAAAAACAAAAATTAAAGAATAAAACAAGGATGGGGTTTAACGTCCACTCAACACAAACTAGGTCATTTCGGGACTAACACATGGTTCAATTTTACTTCAATGATTCGCTTGCGCGTAGAGGTCTTTAGCAGTGGGAGAAAACCCACGAGGTTGGACATGCGACCCTATTCCTTGTCACGTACAACTGGGCTGTCGAAACCACGTTAGGTGATTTAAACAATATTTTATTTCCATTATATCATGATTGTTTACAATACTGATATTGTGGATCTGAAAACAAGCCATAGCTTATATAAATTCATCTCCATGTAAATTGTAAATTTCAATAACATTGCTAAAATGTACAAATTTCAACGGTATTATATCTTACATTTTTACAAATAAATATATAAATAAATAAATCATCTTCATGGTCATCGTCATCGTCATCATTATCACCATCATTATTTAAAATCATTCATCGTCGCCTGCCAATTACCGTATCTGTTCAAAGCGCTTGGTTAGTTTTAAATACTTTTGAACTTCACTAAAAATCACTTCGTTGTACGAGTTACTTTCGTTGGGGTCGCCATATAGGAACGCTTTTGTATGTATGGATTTAAATGGGAGGGTATTTAATGTTGAGATACGCTGAGACGAATAATTTGGGCAGTGCTGAAAATAATGTCGCTGCCTTCTTGGGTATGGCCACATCTGCATGTCGGATTATGTGAAATATGCATTAAAAATGTATGGAAGTTTAGAGCACTTTTACAATTACGAAGTCTGGAATGGATAATCTGAAATTTACGTTCTCCATAGTAATAATATTTGGGTATTTTATGATCATTCACGCTTATCTTAATTTTGAAATTTTGTATAGTGGAGGCGTTTTGCGTATCGTAAGAAAGGCTGTTGAAAGGTCCACTGTTGAAGGCAAAAATTAGTTCTTATAATAATTGGTGTTAGAAGCTATATTTTTTAATTCATTCTTATTACGAACAGGGTAAGGATTTACTTCAGAAATTTTAGGTGGTACTAGAAGACTTAAGAAAGGGGGAACCAACTTATTGACCATTTTATACATAAGAATAAGCTTGTGCCTTATACGTCTTGTTGATAGTGGGTTATATCCAGATTCATAGTAAAGTACATTATGGGAAGTACCTCTAACAAGACCTGTGGAGATTTTCTCATTTTAGTGACTCAAATTTGTTACCGTTGTCCCAAACGACGTCAGCGTAGTCGAATAAGGGCAAAATAAATCATTGTAAATAATCTCTAAAGACTTAACGAGAAGTACGATATTTTAAGCCACGGAGACAGTCAATAGAGCGTTTAACTTTAGATATTACATATTCAGTATGGTTATCCCACTGACAATTACTTTGTAAAATAAGACCAAGGTGTTTGTGGTATATCGATTCCTTAATTCTTACATTGTTAAAATTTAATCCAAAAGAGGTTTGGAATTATTTTCTAGAGAATGCCATGGAAACTGTTTTTAGGGGGTTAAATCTTACTTTCCATTTAGTCGACCAGCTTTTAATCAAATTCAGATCTAAATTTATTACATTTTCACATTCGCCTGGGTTTTCAATAGTTAGATACAACGACGTATCGTCTGCAAATAAATGTATATTAGAATTGATATTTTCAGTAATGTCATTGATATAGATAAGGAAAAGAAGTGGACCCAATACTGATCCTTGGGGAACACCTGTGGTTATATTATTTAAATTAGAGCTTTCACCTTTAATAACTACCGATTGTTTTCTATTCGTAATCTAATATAAGAGTTAAAAGTTTACCGTGGATACCGATACAACTCAGTTTGTGAATCAAACCCTTATGCCACACACGGTCGAAAACTTTACAAATAGCACAAAATATGGCTTTTACTTCTTTACCGTTATCGAGAGCTGACGAAATATAATCATATATATATATCAATTAATTGATAAATAGTACAGTCATTTATTCTGAATCCCGATTAGAGAGGGCTTAATAAATGATTGATTAATAGAAAATTGTGTATATCTTTGTAAATTAGTCCTTTCCAAGTAGACTTAATAATGATATAGGTCTATAATTCTCGGGATCGTGAGTATCACCTTGTTTAAAGATTGGAACTACGATAGCCTGTTTCCATATGTTCGGAAATACAGTTGTATTGTGTAGGAAATTAAACAATGCGAAAAGGGGCTGGCTTAATGACGTAGCACAATTTTTCAAAATAATGTTGTTAACTCTGTCAGGTCCACTGGCTTTATTTGTCGAAAGTGAGATCAGCTGATCGCGTACCTTAGCCGTTGTGTAAACTGGCTGTTCAATTTCAATCGAATTAACACAAAGTTCCGGTGGCTCATCGTTAGCATCCTCAAGATGAGACTAACTCGAAAAATAATCGTTGAAAATATTAGTTTTTTCACAATCACCATAAAATAGTCTTCATTAACTTTCTGGGTATGGATTTCCGTGGAGGATTTGCCGGTATGAAAAGCATGACTTTTAACAAGTGTCCACCAAGCCCTTTTATCAAATCTCTCATAGTTAATTTTATTATCAATGTTATTGTAATATTCCTTTTTACATTTTCTTACTTCAGATATGACAAAATTTCTGTATTCACGAAATAAATTCCATGTATCAGGACTATTATGGATTTTAGCACTGTATTCACGAAATAATTTCCATGTATCAGGACTATTATGGATTTTAGCATGCGACCCTATTCCTTGTCACGTACAACCAGGTAATCGAAACCACAATAGTTGACTCACTCAATGACAGACCAATGCCCCATCTCTCTCCCCGTCTCTGAAGCAGACAAAGTTTTGTATTCGATGACCTGGGATTTCATCTATCAGTTTACAAATATAGGGGTGTGCTAAACCCAAGAAGACTGTGTATCCAGAAATACCAATTAACAGTTTGTTTCAAAAATCTAGTTTACTTGTTACAAATGCGTGAATTAATTATTAGTTTCTTGGCGATTTAAAAGTGCCCTAATCTTTCTTAATTTATAGAGTGAATTGAAATCAGACCTACAGATTTGATTAACTTGAGATGTCCTTGTCAAACAAAACACCTAACTATCTAACTGAAAGAGATGGATTAACTTCAACCCCACCCATTCTTAAATTCTCTAAACATCTCATTTGAGGGAAGAGGTAAAGTGTACGACTTCTGTCTTATCGTCGTTAAGGACTAAATGGTTTGCCTTCATCCATCTCCGATCTCAGCGAGACAAATATGCATTATATTTAAGATATAACTGTGCGTCATCAGCATACAACATCAATTCAAGATTATGGCGAACAAAAATATCTTTGGCCGATATACAACGTAAACAAAATTGGCCCTAAAACTGACCCGTGCGGCACACCGAAAGGTAATACTTGGGATTTTGATGAGTGTTCTTCCTGGTAGGTACGATATGAACTATTTCCAATTGATAAGCCAGAATACGTTTGAAAGTATTGGAGAGAAATCCAAGGGCACAAGTCTGTAATTTTCAAAAGATGGACAATTCTGAATAGTCTTTTTGTGTCTGCTTCTGCATTTCTTAATTTGAGGATGCGCCTAATTCGGATGATGATGGTGATTGTTGATTGGTTACATGATTATTCAATTGATTGTGTTGATTAGTATTAATGGTATTGGTGATGATTATGATGACTTTTAAAAATGATAGTAGGAAAACATGTGAAGATAAAGGTTAACTCACATAATTTTATCCCTATGAACTGATTGTGCTTTGTGTCTTAAAGATTGCTTTTGTCGATCACGTATACAATAACTATATAACCTAACCGATAATGTTTCCCGTTTTACTTCTTTATTTATCGACCCAAGCTGCTGAAAGCGTTTTTTATTCTTTCTTTCAACCTAGTAATTCGATATAAATCACCCAACGTCAATATCTTTGAACCAGAACGTGAGATCAGAGACTCTTTAATCACGTACTATACGTTTATTCTATCTGTAAATTGTATTTATACTAAAATACAATCGAATCTAATCTGACCCTTCTATCGGAAGATAAAACAATTCTCAACACCCTATTCCCCCATCGATTTTATATAACAATTGACGACAGAGCTAACGATTTTAAATAAGAAAAGAAAATGATATAAAATATTTAAAACTGAATGAATTGATAATGGTTACTTAGCTACGGGGGTAAGGACAATAGTTTATATTGATTATCAGGATGAGTGAGTGGAGACGTTCTTCTACACAACAAGTTAAGCATAGCCTATTTATTGATAGTGTCACTAGCAATGGATGTGTCGCCGTGATTAAATACTATATGAAGCAATTTGAAGCAAAATTATAATGGCGATTTTTAACATATCGCCTATATTGTTATTTTTTGGATTATGGGTTCAGATTGAGAAGGTGTCAACACAAGGTGTGTATATTTCTATCGATATATATTATGATAGATAATGTTTCTGTTATGAAATAGATAGCTTTGTATCGACTTAAAATATATTGTATATTTAAACTATACATTTTTTTAAAAAAAAGAAATGATTATCCCAACCTCACGTTTATTTTATTTTATAGAACAATTAACTATCGCTATAACTTGATTTATTATAGCGTTTTTTGAAGCGCACCTCAAAAAGGATCGTTTGGAATTAAATCCAAATCAAGCGTCTAATATTCATAATATTGTAGTCGTGTCTTTTATACGATGGGTCCAAGCATAATAAGAATGTAAAACAAAAGAACTTATAAAAGTCAGTATTAAATTAGTTTAATAATGATTATGACTTGATAAACTACATACGCGTCATTCCGTTTTAATCTTTCTTTTACTTATCCCACAAAAACTGTATTTAAAAGATATATTCCCTAAAGGATTGGCGATGCCGTATCCATTATTGTATACTAAATAGTAATCGGAACTGTTTTTAATGTATGTTTATATCTTAAAACGGGCAACAACTTAATATGAGTCATACATAGCTTCAATTTACATCATCAAATTCAGCAATTGTAACCTAGTCAAACTGAAAAATAATATATCCTGTTGTCGGGGGGAGGGGGGAGAGACATGACGGTATTTTGGAATTATTTTGGGATCATGATTCAAATCTCAAAATATGAGAAACTCTTTATGTTTTCTTATTGTCAAAGATGTATTCTTACAAATCGTATTGTTTTTTCCGAGGTGATATTATCAGGGTTTAAAGCTAAACAAGTCATTGTGAAAAATTATATGTTTTCACTTTGTGTAAGTATAGTGGGTTGGATGGCCGAATGGTTAGCGCGTGCGCGTTGTATCATAAGTCTGTCATTGAGTCAACTGGCGTGGTTTCGATTCCCCGGTTGTACGTGACAAGGAGTAGGGTCGCCTGTCCAACCTCGTGGGTTTTCTTCGGGTCCTCCGGTTTTCTCCTACTGCTAAAGACCCATACGTGCAAGCAAATTATTGAAATTAAAGTCAACCATATGTTAGTCCCGAAATGACCTAGTTGTGCCGAGTGGACGTTAAACCCCATTTCTCTCTTTCTCTTGTGTAAGTATAAGTTATTATCATATAAAGTCAGAGTTTCACAATATAGCCCGGGAATCCTTTCGGGCTTGCAAGAGCCACATCCACCTCCTAAGATATCTTGTTCAAATCAGACTAACGACATAGAACGCTAAATAATGTCTAATATAAATACTATACTTTAAAGTCAACAAAATAAAATATTCTGTCTAGTTTATTGGGCCGATTTTCTCGTCCGAGAAGGCTGATATTGGGACCAACTTTAAAATTTACCCACCGTGGTGGAATGTCTGGCGATATTTCATTGCGCTGCGGTCTGTAAAGAGGATGAGATCCATACAGTTACTATACCACTTTAAACGTCGTAGGTAGTGATTCCCATACAATAAACAGAGCAGTGTATTCTTATACAAATTATATCTCTGTCTTAAATTCTGGTACTTTGAGCATTTTACTAAAAGTTGATTTCATCTTCGTGCCTATATGTATGAAACAAGTAGTTATCTACTCACCTAAGTAATGATCCATCATAGTTTAAAGTAAAGTCATAACTAAAGGCACCAAAGTCCACACGAAAAATAACCTATTTTTCCTAGGCCGGAAGTAGGTCTTCAATATGTGCACATGTGGAATAAAACTAACGTTTGCATGTATAACAGTGCAGTCCTGATCCTTTGTACAGTTGATTCTGCATGTAGGGCATGAACTTTTACGTGAAGGAGACTGAAACTTACTTGATGAAGATTTAGGCTGCTCCGACTTTCCTCTCTTTTCCTTTGTTATTTTCAAACGTAGTATATTGACGGTCGGTTGGATGCTGAACACCAAAAAATAAAAGATCAAAAGCCGCCAAAGAATGCTTACAACCAGCATTTGGATGTTTTATAGCTAGTTAATAAAGACAATGCCGTGCCGAATGGTGTGAACGGGAGAAATTGCCGTCTAAAAAAAAAAACCCACATAACCCATGGCCTAGCCACCCAGAGTGCCCCACAAGTTTTATAAGTGGCCTAGCCTGATTCATGACCCACCTACCATTTTTTATGTGTGGCCTAGGTTTTTTTTTTTCGATAATAAGTGGGTAATTTTTTCGGTATTTAGTGATTTTTCGGTATTTAGTGATTTTAGGATTTTTTCTGTAATTAGTATCAAACAATTTTTTTCGTTAACTTTCAGTGTTTTTTCGGTACTTTTCGGAGGGTTTTTTTGTATATAGTACAGTCGTTGTCGTATTAAAGGCATTTATAGCTTTAAAGATATAAAATAGTATCTAGAAGAGACAGTACTGGTATATAAGGTTTTTAAAACGCCAGATACCTTTAAAATTACCTTCGTGTAATTTTATAGCAATATTGATCTTAGTACTTTTCAAGAGTATTTTTTTTTTTAGATTCTAACTGTTTTGTTAATCGACACGCTGTCAACTTACAATAAATAAGATAAACAGTCCATTACGTCATAAGCAACATTATAATAGCAATGAAATAATATGCGCCTATGGTATATAAACTAGTTAATAAAAATTTAGAGTGAGTCGGTAGTCTAATGCCTGGCTCACGCGATAAGAATTTGCTGACTGTGTGTAGACAATTGCAATTTGTGTATACGTCCACATATAGTTTTCTTACTCATAAGATGCCGCTATAGAGTATATTTTGTATCATTATAAATCGGCAAATCATCTTATTATTTATGTAGTGAAACGTATCACTTCGGTAACACGTGATGATGATCTTTGCAACACAGATAAGTTCTCTCAAACGCACAATAAAATAATTTATGGTGCTGGCATGCTGTATAAAATGCGTTTTATTTTAAAAGATAGGGGCATTACAGCTCTTAGAGTTCTGTGGAATACACCGGAACACCAAGATTGCACCCTTGTGTTAATTCAATAGGAGATGAATACCCGAGCCACTGGAAGCAGCATTACAACAACAGTGGAGAAGTATCCCACAAATAACTATATGTTTTTAAATCTTTCCATCATTATTAAATACATTTTTTCTGTGTAAAAATGTGAAAAAGATAAAATAACAAAATCAAAATATTAATAACCAAACGCATACACATTTTCGACGGCCCAGATAACGTGTCTTTCTACAGAACTGAGGACTTCCGAGGAATTGTTCTAAGAACGGACTGCTTTGTTGCGTTCTATATTGAGGGAATCCTGTGCGTCAAGACTCTACTACAATACGTAAGGGTTTGGGATGGTTGTTTACTCGCTTGGCTGTTTCGTTCTCGATTATCCTAAAAGTAAATTAGTCTCTAAATCAGATGAGGTTGTTCAACATATATGTTTATTTCCAGAGTGAATATATATGTTGCACTCTGCTTGAGTTTATATACATGTTAGTAACCAGGTCTGATTTAGGGCACCTTAAGATTAGCTCATCAAACAATTAGCACAGTAGATTTAATTATAAGAATACAGGGTGTGTTCCCACTTAGCCGGCAGACTGTTAATCCTTTGATTGATCTTAAAACTATAGTCTGTTTAAAAGTAGTCACTCAAGAACTGTTCACTAGTGTTCAGCGTTAATGAACTCTTAATCCCTCTTAATAAAATTTATTAACCAACTAATTAATGACATTTTGAACACAGTTCATGCCAGCGTTATGATTTCAAACATGAATTCAATTCACTATATTAATATAAATAGATGGTCGATATGTGTCGAAATTATATTTATTTTTAAATGGCAAACGTTCAGGTTAATATTCGCTTTATCTCCAATAATCGAGGTGGCCGATATTTAATACACAATGGTTACATGTTCAGTATAAAGTCAAGAGAACCAAATGCCGTCCATTGGAAATGTTCAACAAAAACTTGTCCAGCTACTGTAAACACCAAGAATGATGTTATTTAATAAATATTAAATTTGTTAAAATCAATATATTTTTATATGAGTAAGCTATTTAATGTTATTTAATAAAAGTTAAATTTGTTAAAATCAATACAGTTTTAGTCTTAAAAAAGATATGGACTATAGTTGATAACACCATTGTTCTAGGATTAACTCTGGATTAGCGGCAAAATTTGACATCAAAGCCTGCCGGCTAAGTGGGAACACCCCGAATACAGTTTGAATGAGCTTAAGTTATATATCTCTAGATATTTTGGTAATTAAAACAATTAGATTAATTTAGAACCAGTCTATCAAGATTAAGGGTTGATTAACGTCTATAAGAAATGGACATTTGTGATAATAATAAATATATATATATATATATATATATATATATATATATATATATATATATATATATATATATATACGAAATGAACATGTGTAAAATAATAAAATAGATATAAAACTTTAAATACATAATAATGTTGTATGTACACGTAGATTTATACTTTACTCTATCACATAATGGGGGTATGTGATAGAGTAAAGTATAACTCAACATGTATTGTATGTACATGTAGAGTTACACATTACTCTATCACTGTTCTTTGAGACAATCTGATAAAAGTACAGATCTATATTTCGTTTCCTTTTGTTTCTACTTTCGATGGCCTTTTCTACATGAAGATCTGATCAGTTGTAGTGGGAGGTCGTGTCAGGGGTCATACGTGTGGTTTTTTTTACCCTATGACGTCAGGCATTTGATTAACCAATCAGCGTTGATGTTTCTAGTGGAATACCCATAGTTCCGTACATCACACACCAAGAACTCGCCAAGAACGGATTGTTTCATTGGCTGATCCCTCACATCAACCAGTAGCGGGTTATATAACAGCTCTTCCAGGTCCTAGTGTAGTAAAGACAAGTAAAACGAAATTTTGAACTATAGAAAACGAAACGAAATAGGATTTGCGTTTTAATTAGATTGTCTTTGTGAGGCTATTTGTGTATGACCTTTACATCTAAGTTGTATGTATTATAATAGAATAT